GCAGTGGCGCACATCGCACGGTCCCGGGACGGATACAGCAGTGCGTCAGGGGAACATGCCCGAGATTGTCACGTGAGTTTTCCCACACGAGGCAACACATCTGGGGCTGATACACCTACAGCAGGTTCGCCACAGGGTTCACTGGTAATTGGGCCGGTTAGCACTGCGCCACAGGTCCAGATTCAGATGTGTTCGTCAAGGAATGATGGAGAACCACCAAACTGAAATTTGACCGTTGTCGGTGAGATGCTGGCGTGGGTACGATCAGTGATGATAGCAGTAGTTGTCCCCGTTGAGTGTCGTTCTATACCCCACTATTTTTCATTATGCCCGGCACGATGGAAATGGGCGCACATTGACTAAATTGTTGGTTGTCTTCCCTGACCTGCCCACATTTCCCCCCTCCTCACTTTGATTGCCGCGGCGGGAATCCAACGACAACAGAACCCATTCACCACGCCGGCCCTCCCCACTTGGGCGCCGCCGAGCCCTCACCTATCACAATGGCGTTGAAGGCGATGGCCGAGACGAGGTCGGTGACGAAGCCCGGGTTGCGGCGGTCCTCCGAACTGCAGTTGGCCTCCAGCCAGCGGGCCAGCTCGCCGTCGGCGCGGATGGCCGAGAGCAGCGCGCGCAGGCCCCGCCTCTTGGGCGCCTGCTCGGGCGGCAGCGGCTGGCCGTCGGGCGACAGCAGCACCTCCAGCTGCGCCTGCCGCCGCACAGCGGTGTTGTCAGAGGCCGCGACGGCCATGGGCGGATACGCAGACGGCGGCGAGCAGGAGCCGGCCGGCGCAGGCTGGGCAAATACGAGCGACAGCCCAGCTGACCAGCGGACGGGAGGCGTGGGATGAGCCGTCGACCTACAACAGTCCCACGCACTACGCGCCAGCCCCCAGGTGTAGCACAGGCTGGTCATGTCCAGGCAACCCGGATCAGCGGTCAATGGCGAGCCAGCCTCTTCCACCACGCATAGCAGAGCTGATTTGTAGCGCTCTGCCCAGTCTGATCTACCCTACCAGACCCCTCCTCCTTAGGAATGCGGCCTCTCGGGCCCCAGGGGGGGGGGGGGGGGGGGCCTGACAAACACGTTGTGCCAGGGGGTGGCTGTCTGATAAGCTGGCTGGCAGGACCCGTGAAGAGAGGCCGCCTCCCGAGCCGAGCTCTGCTGCCCGCCACACCGCAGTCCGCCGCGACCGGCGGCGTCGCGCGCGTCGCCGCTCACCTCCTCAGGGCGCGCGCCGGGTCCTCCTCGCCGAAGAACAGCGCCCAGTCCAAGTCGTGCGGCACGAGCGCGCGCAGCCGCTCGTCGCCGACCAGCGTCTGCAGGCGGCGCAGCAGCGCCAGCAGCAGGCGCGCGCCGCCGCCGGCGCGCACGCACTCGGCGGCGGCGGCAGCCAGGCCGGTCAGCGGCACGCGGCCGGGCCGCGCCAGCAGCGCCGGCGCCAGTAGCTGCGCCAGGTTCGTCCAGATGGCCGGCACGTCCGTGGCCAGGTCGACAGCGGCGTCGAGCACGTCGCCAGCGCCGGCCAGGTAGATGGCGGGCGTGAGCAGGCCACGCTCCAGCAGCAGGCGGTGCAGCTGGCCGGCCGCGTGGCGCTGCTCCGAGGAGCGGGCGTCCACGAACACGTCCAGGCACTGGGCCACGAATGTGGACAGCGTGGCCTCGTGCAGGTGCGTCTCGCAATCCTCCATGCTCGCCTGAGTGTGGGGACGGATGGGGTCAGTGCACGGCTGCCGGAAGAGAGATGAGGGAGAGGTTGCACACTGATTAATGCAGAGATAGCGGGTACGGTCCACACTACACTCCCACGTCGAATGGCGTCTTAAGCGGTCCAAGTACCGCTCATGAGACCTGGTGGTAGCTCCCAACACACTAGTCATAGAAGTAACACAATATCTTGCCAACCTGCAATACAAAACTATAAATTATAACGAAAGACACTGCAAATGGACACCGTCATGGTGGACACCACCACACCTCCGGTCCGACCGCACCGGCAGCAGCCTGCCGTCCCTCACCTCGATATCTCCGTTCTCGAGGAACTCGCCGACGATGGCGCGCGCCTGGCGCTTCATGTCGTCAGCGGTGGCGTCGGCCGGCCCGGTCAGCCGCGAGGCAGGCGGCGGCGGCCGCTCGCCAGAGCTGCCGCGGCTGTTGTCGCGCTCGCCGGAGCTGCCGCGGCTGGCGGCGTCGGTGGCGCGGCCCGCCGACGGCGCGCGCCCCTCGCCGCGCAGCAGCTGGAACCGATTGGCGGCGGGCGCCGCGGGTGCGGCGCGCGCCGGCCCCCACCTTGGAGCCCATCGACCAGGAGCCGCCGCCGCCGCCGGGGCCGAGCTTCATCTGGGAGCCGAGCGGCGGCGCGGCGCCGCCGCTGAGCACGTTCATCATGCGGCTGGCGTCGTAGCGGGAGCGTCCGGCCGTGCTCCAGCCGTCGGCGGCCGGCCCGGAGCCGCGCGGGCCGTCGCGGCCGCCGCCGCCGCGGCGCCGGTCGCTCCGCCGCCGGTCCTCGGCCTGCGCCAGCGCCACCTGCTGCTCGGCCGCCTGTCGACGCGCCTGTTCGTGCACCTCCTCGATGGTCATGGGCCGCGGCTGGCCGGCGGCGCGCGTGCTGACCCAGCTGTTGGCGCGCAGCTCGATCAGGTCCTGCAGCATGAAGCGCACACGCGAAGAGAGCGCCTTGTCCGTGGACAGCCGCCGGAACTCGTCGAACTGCGGGCTCAGGTTCTTGCCGCGCGTCTGCTCGGCCTTCTCCAGCTTCTGGCCGATGGTGGTGACCAGCTTGGTCAGGCACTCGTACGAGTCCTCGTGCTTGTCGTGCAGCAGCTTGACGATGCACTGCTGCATGATGCGGTCCGTCAGCATGCCCAGCTTGTAGAGCTCGCCGATGAAGCGGATGTTGCCGTTGGAGCGCAGGCGCACGCGGCGCTCCTCCTCGGCCAGCGCGTGCGCCTTCTCGCGCCGCAGCGCCGGGTCCGTCTGAGCCTCGATCTCCAGCTGTCGCGCCTCCCGGTTCACGCCCAGCGACTTGTCCTTCTCAAACTCCTCCTGGCACTTGGTGAGCAGCAGCTTGCGGAACGTGACGGGCTTCCCTTCCTTGGCGTCGACGTCCACCTGCGGCGGACCACCCGGCGTCAGTCGACGGACGGGCAGCTGGCTCGCGACGGTCCACGCGGCACACGGCAGGCGTCAAAGAAAGCGGTGATGACCGCCCAGGAGCAGCACAACTTTATGTCAGGATTCGCGTCCACGTGAACCAGCTGCTGAACGCTGTAGGCCCGTTAAAATATGCCTCTACGCCGGCCATATAACTGAGGTCGCTTCCAGCAGCTGGTCTGTGCTAATAACGTGCTGGACAAAACTAAGTATTAATGTTTCTCAAGCACCCCAAAATCTTCACCTGCTACACCGGCTGCATAACCGATTATGGATCCCTCTGCTTCACACACACACATGCACGCACGCACGCACGCACGCATACACACCCACACCCACACACACACCACGGCCACCACATCGGGCGCAAGCCGAAACTCGGCGTCCCGTCCGCTCACCTCGAACTTGGCCATGGCCACGCAGACGGTGGCGTACTGGCTGGCGTACGCCGGCTCGTCCACCGCCTTGTCGAACAGCACGTTGATCATGTTGGCGAGTCGCTCCTTGCCCTTCACCTCCAGCTTTCTGATGTTCTCGATCTGGCGTTCGATGTTGCTGGGCGTGATCTTGTTGAGGATGCCCTTGAGCGCGCGGATGATAGCCATCTCGGCGTCGGCCTCGTCGACCGTGTCGGCCGCCGCCTTGGACGGCTTCCACGCGTTGTCGGTGGTGCGCAGCTTGACGTCGCGGTTCAGGCTGATCTCGATGCGGCGCGGCGGCGGCGGCCCCTGCTGCGGCGTGTCGCGACGGCCCTGGCCCGAGCCGCGGCCGCGGTACTGCCGGCCGGAGGGTCGGTCAGAGGTCGGGTCGGGCCGGGCCGCAGTCGCACGGCACCGGACAGCAGTCACAGAGCGCCCGCCGACAGGGTGCAGCGGGCCGACACGCCGACAGCCATCGTGAGCACGGGCGAGGCCGCGCCGCATACAGACGTCAACTCCAGCCAACGCTCAAGCACAGACAGACAGGCACAGTGATCAACATTGGGACACGGCCAAAACAAGCAGGGCCTGGACCTTGCACACCTCAACAGTGAACAGACGTGACTGCTCCCCCCCCCCCCCCCCCTTCCTCTCGGATATTTTTGTTGTTTATTGCCGTCTCCGGGCGCGTCGACTGCAATGGTCATTTTGCGCCAAAGGATACACGCCCACGCCCACATTTTGTGCTCTAGCATACAGCCAGCCAAAGGCAACCAGCCCGAACGCGGCTACTGTTAGGCGGCGTAGGGGCGGACGGCCAGAGCTTTATTTAAACAGGCAGCCGCACTGTCGCCGGCAGCACGGCGGCGCTCCCGCGACACGGACGGCACCGGCTCCTCGCGGCACCTCATACCGCACGCCATCACGCACCCCACACCCATCCGCGCGACCGCACCCCATCGCACCTTGCCGGGCGGTCCGACGGCCGGCTTGAAGCCGGACAAGAACTCGGTGTTGCCGCCCATGCTGCGCGACTTGAAGGCGGCCATGGCGGCGCGCGGGTCGGGCGGCGCCGACCGGTCCCTGCGCACGATCGACGGCAGGTCGGGCAGCGCCGCCGGCCGCCGCTGCGATAGCGGGCAGTGCTGCAGCCGCAGCAGGTCCTCGCGGCCGTACTGCGTCTTGCCTGACAGCGAGACCAGGTCGGCTGCCGGGGAGGCGGCGGTTAAGGCGGCGAGAGCCCAGGCGCGCGGGAGTACCGGCGCACGGACGGGCACACGGGCGCGAGGACAGAGCGTACGCGTTCCAGACAGTGGTGGCTATCGGAACGCTGGCTTATGACATGACAGATAGCCGGCAAACGTTGGTGAAGACGAGAATCAACGTACAGATAACCCATCTACACAAGGTTCATGGGTCACGCTTGTTCCACGCCTTACATCCATGTGTCTGTCCAACTGAAAAGATACTGACAGTGGAAACGAAACGCCACTCAAACACTACATTACGGACAAGCCCTCGCGACCCGCGGCGTTTGAACTACGTGCCGATATTGCAGACGATCGCCGTCACCACCCGCCCCGCGTACGCCGATGTACCGCGGCCCTGACGCAGCCGCTGCCACCGGCCGTGTGCTGCCCACCTCTGATGCCGTCCATGTGAGTCGGTGGCCGGCCGGCGGGCGGCGTCTCCCTCTCAGCGTCACCGTTGACGACGGGCGGCGCCTCGGGCGTGCCGGCGGCGTCTGCGCCGACCGTGCCGTTCCGCGCGCCCGCCTCCGGCGGTGGCGGCGTGCCGTCGCCGGCCGGCGCGGCGCCCGGGCGCGCCAGGCGCCAGTTCAGAGCCGTGGCAGGCGGCGCGGCGGCGGGCGCCGGCCGCGCCTGCCGCCAATCCAGCGGCCCGCCAGGCGGCGTAGCGGCAGCGGGCGCCTCCCGGGCCGCTGTCGGCAGCTCCCCAGGCGCCGTAGCTGACGGTGCGGTGGCGGCGGGGTCCGCCGCGGCCGCCTCCTCCTCGACTGTCTGATCCTCCGGAGTGGGCGCGGCGGAGGGGCACGGTGGCTCGGCGGTCGACTCGGCTTCCGCTGCAGGGCAAGGCTCCTCAGCGGCGGGCTCCGCCGCCTGCGGTGAGGCGCTCGCCTCCACACTGTTCACGATTGAAGGCGTGTCCGACGTAGCTGCGGCCGGCTCGGAGGGCACTGATGCGGCAGCTGACTTCGTCACAGCAGCCGCCGGAGCCGGCGGCGTCTCTGCAGGTGGCTGCGCCGCCTCCACCTCGACAATAGCTGCAGCTGGCTTTGGGTCAGCACTGGCAAGGGCTGGCTGCACATCTGCGACCGCCGGGGCGGACTCCGCGGCTGCTGCAGCGGGCTTCACCTCCTTGATCACTTGAGCAGATTTCACGCCATCGTCCACGACAGCCGGCTGCGCGTCGTCAACGTCAGCGACAGCTGGCCCCCGGTCCTCCACAAGAGGCTCAGGCTCCTCCTCCACGGCAGGCGGCGACGCTTGAGTCACCTCCGCCGCAGACGGCACGGCCACAGGCTTCAGCTCTGCAACCGGCGGCGCCGGGTTTACAGGGACAACGGCCGCTTTACCAGGTATCTCTGTTGCGTTAGGCTTTACTGTCACAGACGGAGCGGTGGCGGGCGCACCGGCCGCAGTGGCAGCAGCTGATTGTTCGTCTGCGGCCGCGTTGAGAGTCGGCTTTGTTTCCTCGACGACAGCTGTCGGCTTTACTTCCTCGATGGCAGTCGCTAGCTCCATTTCCTCTACAGTAGCCCTCGGCTTCACTTCTCCTAAATCGATGCTCGGCTTCGCTTCCTCGATGGCAGCTGTTGGCTTCACTTCACCAATGATATCTGTCGATTTCACCTCCCCGATGGCAGGTTTCGGCTTCACTTCCTCGGCCGCAGCTATTGGCTTTGCTTCCTCGACAGCGGCTGCCGGCTTTGCTTCCTCGGTCGCAGCTGCCGGCTCCGCCTCCTCTGCGGCAGCCGGCTCCTCCGCCACAGCGGGTGGGGGCGCGACCGGCTCCATATCCGCCGCAGGCGCCTCGGCCTCGCTCTCCTGCACCGGCGACGACCTCACAGCCAGCGGCGGGGCCTCCTCTGCCGGCCGGACGGGCTCGGCGCGCGCCGGCGGCTCCTGCTGGACGGCGGCGGGCGCTGGAGACGGCTCCTTGCCGGCCGGCCGCGCCTCCTCAGCGCGTGCGGCCGGCGGCCGGCCGTTGCCGTTCTCTCGGGCCGCGCCCCGAGGCTCCAGCTGGCGACTGGCGGCGGCCGGCGAGGCTGCAACACGCGCGCACGGTCAGCACGGCCGCACGGGGACGTGCGCGGCAACCCTGCACCTGCACACTGAAGCTGCCGCACGCACGCTGCTTACATGAACTACGTGACGATATTTCACGCTATACCTCAGTGCCGAACACTGATTCCTCACAGGGCCTCGAGACCTGCATCTTCGCGGTACGCAATCAGCTCCTGCCTCAATGCAACACCACACTTAACGACGCGTCCGAGAACCCCCACCTTCTCCGCCCAACGCTCGCATGCACCACACGGCAGCGCCTCCGATCGCCCCAGCCGTCCCCACCGCGCCGCCTGCCGCCTACCGTTCCTAATGACGGCGCGTCTGATGACGTCGGGCGAGTGGGCGACGCGTCCGTTGGCCGCCTGGTAGCGCAGCGCGCCGCCCCACTCGGGCGCGCCCGGTGGCGGCGGCTCTGCCGGCGCGTCGGCGTACAGCGCCGCCTCGGTGAGGCTGGCGCTGGAGCGCGGCCGGCCGGCGCGCGGCCCGTCACCGGCGTCGGCCAGCTCCGACACGCTGACAACTGCTGTGCGGCCGGTAGCCGCGCGGCCCCACCACGCCGTTGCCGAGAGCGGCCGGCCGCTGCCACGGCCCGTCGCCGGTGGGCGCGCCCGGCCGCCACGCCGGCGGCTCAGCCGGCGCCGCGTGACCCTGCGGGAGGGGGGTGGGGCGTCACGGGCTGGTATGACGGGGCGGGTGGCGGCGGCGGGAAGGGGCGACTCCCCGGGAGGAAACAGATGGCGTCGCTGCTGCAAGCTGACCATGGCTTCTGCGGTCCGTATACCTCATAAACCACACACTTCCACATCCCGCTGTCGTTACCAATACACATCAGACCCACCTGTCATAGACAAACTTCTAAAACCAAAGCATTTTTAAAGCACTCAAAAAATGATTGCTCTTTCCAATGAGTGCCTGGGATGACCAAAACAAATGACGCCTCTTCCTGGCGCACACCGTAGTCCATAGCATCCCACTCGTTTCCTGACCAACAAACTCAAACCTCTCTCTTGCCAGTGCGCCCCCGCCCCCCCCCCCCCCCCCCCCTCTGACGCCACCCGGACCCAGCCGCCGCTCGCCAGATGCATATCCCGGGAATCCGCCGCTCTCCGGCTGCCGTGGTCCGGCTCGGCCCCGCATCTGTTCCCCCCTCCGGCGGCGGCGCGCGGCGGCGGCGGCGGGACACGTACCTGGCCCGGCGGCGGCGTGCCGCGGGCCGACACCTCCAGGCCTGTGCTCGGGTTGATGATCGGGATGCGGTGGCTCGTCAACGCGTGCTGCGCGTGCTGGGCGACTGCGGGCGGCGGCGCCGACGGCGGCTGGGGCGGCGCCGGCGCCGGCGGCGGCACCACGGCCGGCAACATCTGCCGCTGGTCGAACTGCTGCAGCTGCTCGAACGACGACAGCTGCTGGTCAAACTGCTGCAGGTGGCGCGGCTCCAGCGGCTGCTGCTGATGCTGCTGTTGCTGCTGCTGTTGTTGCTGCTGCTGCTGTTGTTGCTGTTGCTGCTGCTGCTGCTGCAGCCCTATGGCCGACCACATCTGTTGTGGCTGCTGCTGCTGCGAGTAAATGCCTGCAGACAGAGGGAGGCAATGCGAGTGAAGACTTCACACACACACAGCGCGAACAGCCGGCCGCGGGGCGGGGCCTCAGCGGAGCGGACACCAACGCGCTGAGCAGACACCTCGGACCCCCCGACGCCGGAGCGACGCTGGGGTCGCACACACTTCCGAAGATCGGAGGCCGACCCACTCGTACACGCAGCACTCTGTAGGGTCCTAACGATTTCGGGCGCACAGACTACGAGAGCGATACCCGCTGCCCGGCCCAGAGGGGCGCCAGGCCCATATTGGTGCCCGCCCCGCGGGCGGAAGCCGTCCACCAGTGACCCGACGGCGGTTCACCGGCCGGCGGCCTCCCCAGTCCTGCTCACCCTGCTGCGGCTGCGGCTGCGGCAGCGGCGCGTACTGCTGCTGGTACATGCTCGGCGTCATGTACTGTTGCGGCACGACCGCGTGACTCTGGCGACAGAGTAGACACGCGGTCACCGGCGGGGTCCACACGGTGGGGGACGGTCAAGAGCGGCGGTCAGCGGTCACCGGCGGGGCCCATACGGTGGGGGACGGTCGCGGTCACCGGCGGGGCCCATACGGTGGGGGACGGTCAAGAGCGGCGGTCAGCGGTCACCGGCGGGGCCCACACGGTGGGGGACGGTCAAGAGCGGCGGTCAGCGGTCACCGGCGGGGCCCATACGGTGGGGGACGGTCGCGGTCACCGGCGGGGCCCACACGGTGGGGGACGGTCAAGAGCGGCGGTCAGCGGTCACCGGCGGGGCCCACACGGTGGGGGACGGTCAAGAGCGGCGGTCAGCGGTCACTCGGCCCCTAGCCGGGTGACCGCTGGTACACCGCGCCGCACCACTCGACTTCAACCCCCCCCCCCCCCCCCCCAGGTGTACAACGCAAGAGCCCGACGGATGCATCGGTGGCTTCCCAACCGACGACTACGGGATACTGCGAGGTACACAGTGAGCAGGACAGACGGCTCCGGTGTCGATGCACCCCGTGAGCCAGCAGGCGGCAGCGGCGGCGGCGGTCTCGGGCCCACCTACCGTTCCACCAGGCGGCATGCCTTGGATGAACATCATCACGCTGCCCTGAGGACGGAAGAGGGGCGGTTTAGGAAAGGGCGGAGGGGGGGGGGGGGGGAAGGGACGCCGAGCGCCGGGAGCTGCGGCCGATAGCGGCAATGTTCTATTCATGGCCGGCGGGCAACAAGATAATGATGCAACAGATAAGATAGCCGATGATGTAACGGACGCTCCCAGCGCGGCCCAGCAATACAGTCCATCCCGTCTCCGCCGCACAGTCCCAGTAACTCCGGCTCCATCAGTCAGGCTCAGGCCGACGTGTGCCGTCCGTCGTGAGCACTGACACAGCCGACCATCACCAGCCGCGGCTGCGGCGAACAGCGCCGCGCACAACGCCTGGCTCGAGGCCTTCGCCGCCAAACCGCTCTCACACAGCGGCCACCTGCTCACCTGGCCGCCGTGCGGACCTCCGGGCAGGCCGAACGGCGCCACCGGCGGCGGCATGCCCATGCCGGGCATGGGCGGTCCGTGGCCGGCGTAGCCGCCGGGCCCGGGCGGCCGCGGCCCCACCATCTGCGGCCCGGCGCCGCGCGGCGGCCCGTACCCCACCGGCGCGCGCAGCATCGGCCCCGGCTGCTGGTGCTGGTGCTGGTGCTGGTGCTGGTGCTGGTGCTGGTGCTGCTGATGTTGATGCTGGCCGGCGTACACGGCGCCCGGCGTGCTGCCCAGCTCCACTGCCGGCACGGGACGGCGGTGAGGCACGGCGTCCGGACCGCGAGGACGCGGGTTCAAGCCCCAGTGCGGGCCGAGTCGGGCCCGACGCCGCAGCCGGCGCGCCGTCGGCGGCATTAAAAACCGCGGCGGCTGCCCACGACGTCAAGCAGCAGAATGATCGATTACAGGAGCACGCAACGACACAGTGGCGGTCCGATCGCCAGCAGAACCACGGCGAGGCAGCTCAGCCGAACAGATCGTCAGCACCTGCCGCCGAGGTGACACACGCAACCGGCGGAGCTGACTCATCCCACAGCAGGCCCGGTCGTCTGACTGCATACAGTCAGCATAGCAGCTGAAGACAAAGCCAGCAGCTTCGCAGCCCGGACAGATGTTGAACTAGCGCCAGGGCGCGCGCGCTCCGTCGCACGGCCAGCGCCACAGAGCTCCGCGTCGCACTCTCAGCGCGGCGCCCCACTGCGCCGTCACCCACCCGGTCCAGACTCGCGACCACGGGGGCGGCTCGCCAGGGAGCGTCTCTCTGGCGAACGCACAGCGCGCCGACCGATCGGGGGTGGGGTGGGGGGTCAGGCCCACTCACGGCCGGGCTTGGCCATGTCGTGCACGGTGGCCGGGTAGTGCGCGTGCTGCAGCAGCGTCTGGTGGAAACCGGGCTGCGGCGGGACGTCCGGACCTGGCGGCGGAGGACGCGGCGGGTCAGGCCGCAGCCAGCGCCGACGGGCGCGCCCGTCAGCCGACGGCCAGGCGGCGCACGCATTGCGGCGGCAGTTACGTGACGGAGCGCGCAGCGTGTCACGTGACGGCAGCGCGACAGTACGGAAAGCTCAGGCGGGGGTTGACTTCTGACGTGCCTGGTGCGTGTCACTCAGCAGCGAGGCCACGAAAGGACATGGTGAGGACATTAAACATCATTCCACGCCAGAACTAGGGCAGCGCCGGCGGATGACCTCACCGGATGACGCGGCTCCGATGACCGCTCGTCGCACCCTGCGATGTCAGCGTCACGTAACCTCCACGCGGGCCGCCCCTGTCCGATGCCCCGCAGCAGCCACCTCCACACATCAGTGCTTAACAGGTTGGGATAGGACGGCCCGTATCTGCTGGGACTCGTCACGTCGGGTTGACATGGACCCAGCTCCATCGAGTACACCACAGTCGGATCCCGTTACACCGACGGAGGTCGCAGCACGCTATCCGGCGACGAGCCGGGCAGGGCCGGGCCGGGCCGGGCCCGAGCCGGGCCGGGCCGGGCCGGGCCCGAGCCGAGCCGAGCCGGGCCGGGCCGGGCCGGGCCGGGCCGGGCCGGGCCGGGCCGGGCCGGGCCAGGCCGGGCCGGGCCAGCCGGGGCGCGCCGGGCAGGGCACAACGCCCCTCAGCCGGCGCCCGACAGCGCGACGACTGACCTGGTGGCGGCCCATAGCCGAGCGTGGGCGGCGCGTTGTAGCGGCCCGGCTGGGTCAGGGGCGGGCCGCGGCCATCCGGCGCCATCCCGGGGCCGCACTCCAGCTTATCTGCCGGCGGACAGGCGCGGCCGCGTTACAACCGCCGGAGCCGGGCCCTGTACGGCACTCAGGTCGGCACTGAGGTGCACGGCCGTCAGGGACGTGGCACACAACCAGCAGCAGAAATCGGCGCGATGCAAAATAATGGACCAGCGGGCAGATGCAGGGACTGGGTGATGCTTGGCTGCACGCTTGTAGCGTTTAACGACTTGTTGCGGAAAGTCGACTCTTAAGTCAATACCGCAGGCATCGTGTGGACAAACAAGCCCCTGCTGGTGGAGCTGCTTCCCAACGATTTTGGGCTCGGAGGGGGGGGGGCCTCGTAAAAGTTGGATATATTACACTGCAGGGTAACCCTGCAGCTTTTGCATATCCAGGCTGTTGGATAACAAATGCATTTTCATCTTTAATTCCCAGTGCTGCTCACTTGAAGCTGACTGAACTGTTCGCTGGCAACGCATATAGGGGAGACAAAGCGGCCGTTCCTAAAAAACAACAATGCTCCTCCCTACCCGTACTCAAAATGTGGTGCTGCAGATGTGACAACAATGAGCTTCCCAGCAAAGGATCCAGTAAATGCACATTCCACGTAGGAGGCACCGCTGAGAGTCAACATCCTCCGATGTGGGCGGAAGTCATCACCGCTTATCGGTAACATCGCAGTCAACACCAACATGCCTCGCCCCGACCCCCAAATAAACGGAGCCGCGTCACCCACGCCCCCTCCCCCCTTCCCGCCCCCCGATCTCTGGCTCGCGACGCGACACGGAACAGGCGGCCGTGACCGCGAGCGCCGCCGTAAACAGGCTCTCACAGCGGCGCGGCTGCCTCAAGTGCGCAGCGCGGAACAGGGGCTTGGAGCGGCGCCACCGAGGCCGGCGACCCCGCCTGCACGGGCATGGCACGGCACGGGGGCCGCTGACGGCGCCTCGCTCTCGTCCGCCCACCACCGCCGCGTCCACAGCCGGGCGGGCACAACACGCCTATTTGCTGAATGCGAGCGTGCCGAGTACTTTCCCGCGCTATGCCTTCTGCGCACGGGAAACAATCCGCCGCGCGTAGTGCAACGGGCGCCGAGCCCCGATCACCAGGCCGCGTGACCTCACCAACGGCCGGCGCGTGCCACCGGCGCGGCGTCACCGGTGACTCATCCGACGCCGGCGGCGCGGCGCGGTGAGGCGGCGGGACCTCCCCGCCGCCGGCCAGGCCAGGCCGGCCGGGGCGCGGCGGGGACCGCGGTGCGTCCCGAACGGGCGGCGACGGACTCCGATCGCCGGAACCACGGCGTCCCGGCAGCGCGGGGCGCGACATTCGGGAACCTTTGAGGGGCACTCGAGGCCCGTGACGACGCGTGTCAAGCATCAAATCGAAGCGCCCCGGTCGCCATGAGCCACGAGCTCCCAGAACCCCACCGGGATCGCGCACGTTCGCCGGCCGACGCCAGGCGTGGGCCCGGTGTAAAGGGCTGCCGCGCCAGGTCATCGTTGGCCGCCCGACGGTAAACAGCCGGCGCCAAGGTCTGCTCACGGAGGGGAGAGGGGGAGGGGGGCTCTGAACCGGCGCCGCCGCGGGCATGCGGCTGTCGGCTGCTTCCGGTCGACGTAGACAGAGGAGCGAGGCCGGCAGCGTACGAGGTCGCTCGCCAACAGGTGTGAACGGGTACGCCGGTTTGGGAGCGCGGCGGTGGCCGGAGCAAGGCCGGGGAGGCATCCGCCCAGTGACACCCATGCTAGGAGATGCTGGCAAACGGCTGAGCCACACGAGCTTTCATGAGAAACCGGCCATTTCGACTACAATCGCTGAGCACCACGAGGAGTTCACCGTATCCCTGCTGCGCCAGAGTAAATTCCGCCAGCGCATGACGAAACACCGATTCCGACTGCGAGAGACAGTTAAGTATTCCGGGATCCCGCTTGAGACTTCCGGACGTACCCGCCGCCGCCGCCGCTCGATGCACGACGCGACGGTCAGCCGCGCGTCCGCCGGTAGTACCCCAGCTGCGGCTTACACCACGTCACTAGAGTTAATCGCCGGACGCGGCAGACGTCACCTGAAAGCCCGCCGCCAAGTCAGACCTGTGCCTGTACCTGTGCCTGTACCTGTACCTGTACCTGTGCCTGTGCCTGTACCTGTACCTGTACTGGCAGTCAACGGCCGCGGGCCGGGCCGGCCACCACACCGCCGGCGGCGCTCCGGGAACGACGCCACACGGCACACGTGCCGCCGCTTAGACATCACTGGCGACCTCAGGCCAACCAACGGCGCTGCGAATGACACCCGTAGCCGTGCAAGCCAACGGGAGCCTGCCAGACGCCACGCCTGCAAACACACTTCAGTTCGCCCAGAGTGTCCACGCAACGGAGCTGCTACCCTCGACGCGTTCCCAGTGGCGGTCACTGGCGCAGCAGCCTACAAAGCTGGCCAGCGTCGGGACGACACCGAGCGGGCAGTGCACGCAGTGCGCCGCTTAACAGACCAGATATGCTGGCTCTGGGCACAGGGCTCGCCAATGCGCTCCGCCCATGGCCGTACTGGAGTCGGCTCACAATGGAAATGTCACCCGGTGAGATACGCGTGCGACGCCGCGGCCGGTCGGAGCCGGAGCCCTTGCGACTGCCGGTAGGCGCATGCCAGGGGCGCGGCGGCAGATTTGCAGGCAGTCCGCCCCGTGAGCCGCGGGTGCCTGCCGTTGCACGTGGCCTGTGACGTCACAAAGGACGGACGGACGGCCGGCCGGAGGGAGAACGGGGCGGGGTCGGGGTGCGTCGCTGGCGCCGCAAAAGCGCAGGCCAGCCTTGCATTTATGACGGCGTTTCCCGTATCACATTTTGTTCGTTACAAGTAGTATATTGATAACAACAGTGCGTCAAACATCTTCGTAAAAACTTCGTCGGAAAACTTCGTCGAATTCACTCCCACCTGAAAACGCCACCTGAGCGCTTTTTTCCGCAGTTTCACAGGAAGCATGCTTCTGTCAATACGGCGAAAACCGGACGGCGCCGGACCCCCGCCGGCGCAGCAGCCCTGACCAAAACACGGCGACAGGCGCGGGCGTCGCCCAGTGCGTGCGTGCGCAGCCCGCCGCCCCTGCCAAGGCCACGGGGCAATGACCCCGTCAGCTGGCCGTGCCAGCTGACGAGTCGGCTCCAAACAGAGGCGCCACGAACAGCCGCACCACCGCAAAAAGGCACCGACGGCTCCGGCAACACCGGCGCTCCCGGCGTCCCGTCGCCAGCCCGGTGACGTCGGGTCGGGGCCACGAGCGAGGAGCGGCGCTGCACGCCGAGTGTCCCTCCAGCTGCTGCACGAAGCCGGCACATGCGTTATCAC